ACTCAATGTGCATTATATTGCTGCACAAAAATTATATATTACATCATGTCTATGGTCATAAAGAAATATCCTAATGTTTATCTCATATAACTCAAAATAGCTTATGGTATCAAAATAATCATTAGACTTTCAGTATTGCAGAATTTGGGAGTTTGCACTAAAAGCCTGCATCTATTTCTATAATTTTCAAAATATTGGAAATAAAGCTTAAGTTTGCAATGTCTGACAGGTCACTGAAATGTTTAATGTTGAAATCATAAGCGCAAGTTGAAAATTAGATACATTGCAGGCATAATCAAATGGTACTGTTGTTTTATTAATATCTTCAAAAATGTCTTAAAATTCCAACTCAGTTTATCTAATTCTTAAAAAATTTGACAACTGCTGAATGTAGTAATATATCAATTATCAGACAGATAGAATAATTAAATCAAATTGAGAATCAAGCACTTCCTTCAGTCAATCAAGTATCTCTGACAGCAAAAAAAAAATCTAAGGTCCCAACATCAGTGTACCATGTGGCTTCTAGCATTAATTTTTGATGTCCTCTTAACTAGTGTTGTTATATAGGAACAATAAGGGAAGGAGGAACTCCAAGGAATAATGTGGCTGGCTAGGAAAAATATTACCTAACTTGTTTCTTAGGATTTGAAAATAATGCTGAAAAAGAATCAATGCAAATGTGCATGTTTAATTCAACCTAAATGACCTATTGCATTTGCAATATACTTGGTAAATAACTTTTGGTTTATAAGTATTTCAAATATCTACTAAAGAATCATATTTTAGTCAGTACTTTCAATCATTGTACTAAAAATAGTGATGAATTGGACAGGTACACAGCAAGCTAAATGGCACTCATTGGGGAGAACTTTCTTTTGACAAATACCTGGTGAAGGATTAATATATACTGCAACAAGTAACATCAATATTTGCACATCACCTATGCAAATCTAAATCTATTCTCTTCTCATGAAATTGATATACACAGTAATCTAACATAGAATTTGGTAGATTAAAAAGTCAAGGATCCGTGATACAGCCATTGCCTCCCAATGTAGATAGTTTAACTCTGCCAGACACTTTTCCTACATCTTGGCAACTGGCTACATAGCAAGTGTACACAATTATACTGAAAAAAATATGATGCATCTTAAAACTTTTCTATATGGACATTTGGCAGAGAAAAATGCATGAAATCTTTTAGCAAAATCAGTTTTGATGGCCACGGGAAGCAATGATGCTGCATGGATGGGTCATGTGGAAGGATGGAATTTTGGCAAAATGGCTGGAGGACCAAAGCAGCCAGAGAAGGGACTGGAAATAAAAGAAAAGTTTAGAGTGTGAAGATATCAAGTCATTTGAAAAATATTCCTTCCCAGGTATCACCTGCAGACACATACATACAAATACATTCATATTCATAATCTCATATATGTTTCCATTTAAGATGCATGTCTCCTTACAAAGAAATATAACCATGAGTTTATAATAAACACAAACAAAAAAACAAAAAACAAGCAAACAAACACTCATGTACATGCACATGAGCACACACACACACACACACACACACACACACACACACACACACACACACACACACACACACACAACATGCATGCATGCTAGCATGCACACATGCAATACACACACAGCACCACACCCACACAAAACACACACGACACACACACAAACACACACATACACACACACACACACACACACACACACAACACACACACACACACCACACACACACACACACACACACACACACACACACACACACACACACACACACACACACACAGACACACACACACACATAGACATTCATATACAATACATACACATGGATATACACACACACACACACACACACACACACACACACACACACACACACACACACACATACACAGACATTCATATACAATACATACACATACATATAGACACATACACACACATACACACCACACACGCACACACACAACCACACACACACACACACACACACACACACACACACACACACACACACACACACACACACACAACACACACACACACACACACACTCACACACAGACATTCATATACAATACATACACATACATATAGACATACACACACACACACACACACACACACACACACACACACACACACACACACACACACACACACACACACACACACACACACACACACACACACACACACACACACACAACACACACACACACACATCACACACACACACACACACACACACATCAACACACACGCCACACACACACACATGACACACACACGACACGACAACACACCACCAACGCACACAGCATACATAACACAGCACACGCACACATGCCCGCACACACACACCGCACGCGCTGCACAACACACACGCACACACACACACACACACCTGCACACACACACACGACACACACACATGCCTGCACACACACACACACACACACACACACACACACACACACACACACACACACACACACACACACACACACACACACACAACACACACACACACACACACACACACACACACACACACACACACACACTCTTTTTCTAACTTTCCATTCTTCTAAAAAAAATTTGTACCTTGTAAAACATGCCTGCAAACATTAAAATAAAATCTCAATTTTTCCATGAATCATGAAAAGCTATTTTCTGTTAGGCACTTTGTTTGCTTTGGTTAAGAAAGATATATCAGGAAACAAAGCTGCAATACACAGTCTCTAAACCTAGGGTGAATAAATAAATAGCCATAATATACATACACTAAAAGTAGCATCTAAGAAAGTGCCATTTGCAACAAAGTTGATTCCCGCATTTCATCGAGAAAAGTCATACCACAATATTAAATAAACAATGATATTTAATTGGAACACTCACTATGTAAATGGTAAGATTGTAGCCTTTTAGCATCCAATGAGACATGAAAAACACCATACTTGGAACAACTTTCAGTTGAATGCTCAAGCACGAATGTTATATGAAGGGCAGTAAAGAATGTCAAGAAGAAATCTAAGAAGGTTTTCTGTCCATTACACATTGTGAGCATTTTAAACAGAAACACAAAACTCTTTGTACATAAAAATCACAATTATGGTGCCAGGTAATATCGGTACATGGTGGACATTATTAAAAATTCACCAATTTGCAGTTCCATAACTTGTTATAAAAACACTGGACTTTGATGGCAACTAATGTAATAGCCATTCACTTTCAAATACTGGTACACAGTTATACAATCAAAGTCTTGATATATAAATAAAGATAATAATAATGGTGCTCTAGCTTCTGAGAAATCATTGCATGCTGAAGCACTTTTTGCTTGCTAAAGGAAGCTTTCTTATTTCTTCCAATGTGAAAGTAAATATCCTAATTTCTTAAAATATGCTAACCAGTACTTGAAAAACAAGAATAATCTGAAACTTTACCCCATGAAAATTCCCTTCTGGGGGAAACAAAGCTCCTATAGTCTCCTAAGAACCAGAGATAATTAACCTAAGCACTTACCCTTAAACCACCGCAAATAATTACCTACTTTGTTTATTTGAGCAAATATCTATTTAGAAAATATAATACCTAAAAATGTTTTATTGCAGACTTTCCTCTTATAAACTACAATGGAAAACCATAATAACATGTCTCGCAATAAGCACTAATAATATTGCTTAAATGTTCAAATGAAATACTTCACAATACAATATTAAAATTTTACAGGTAAATTGACAATCTAAGTAAGATCACACTACATATACAAAAACTATATTTGAGTATAGTTTCTGTAAACCCTAAGCAAAATGAAGACTTTTGCAAGACACTTCTCTATAATAATGACTATTCAACATTTAAGAAAATTAATATTCTCTGCATATAAAAATCATATTTTTTTCCCCTTTTTTCATAAGACAAATAAGATTGTTAGAAGTTAGAGTAAATGAGATTTCCACTCTGATAAAACATGTATGTCACAGTCTGGATTAATCTATACACAACTTTCTATAATGACAAAAATAATAAAATGGGAAAAAGTATTAGGAAGAAATCTGAATTGACATACCTTGGTTAGGACTATGGTAATCAGGGAGCAGTGGCAGCATACAGGCATTCCATCAGTTTATTAATGACATCCTAATTTCCTTTAGCAAATACTCACTTCACAATCAACCACATGTGTCATGACAGGAACTAACTATGAGAGCTCTATACTAGTAGCTTTTAAGTATTTTCAAGATGAGATTCTCTCTGAGACATTATAAGCACAATCTGATCACCACCACATACACTGCATTCAAAATGAATAAATAAAGTAGTTACAGGTATATGTGAATAATTAGATGATGAAACTTCATCAAAACTGATACTCTTGCAATACAGTTTCAGGAGAGATAAATGCAGGTTTTGCAACTATTAGCTAATTAACTACTAGAAAGGAAATCTCCTCAGAGAGGGCGAGGCATGAAACATCCCTTGAGAATGTTTCCTTGACTGTCCTCAGCCACAACTTCAATATGCGTATCTGAAGGCCAGTGTGCCACCTGTGCCCAAGGCAAGTGCAGAACTGGTGGAGGGGGTCGAGTGACAAATTCCCAGTGGTGGAAAGCCATGGTGTGGAGATCACGCAACTCTACCACCCGTATTCCAGCTGTACTGCACACAACAGATCTGTAAATAAATAATCAGTTATTAGGCTGGGGAAATCAATATTCTTTTTGTAAAGTATTCCAGTATAGCTGTTTATCCCCAAATGTGTTTATAAGCTATAATTACTATAAGCACAATCTGAAAAAAAAAAAAAAAATGAATTGCACATGTCTAAATCATAGGGCATACTGTATATAAGAGGAAATGGAATATTTCACATTTTATGGCTGCAAATGACTATGAAAATGCATTTCAGAGGTATAAAATAGCTAATGAAACAAAGCAGGCATGATAGATTCTTTAGTATGAATACAGCTGACCCTTCTTATAGTGGCTTCCAATGAAAAGAATGTACAGAGACAATTTCATACCAGCAGACACAGTGTTTGGACTGCTTTTAATTCTGTTACCTAGCACCTACATCTCTTACAATATTTCATCACATAGCTTCTATGGCAGTTAGCATAATGCATATTTTTGAAAGATACACATAAAGCAAATAAACTAGCAGAGTTTAGCTATTAAATTCCCTGGTCATGTTTCTTCTCCAGATAACATATTTTCCATGCATAGTAATCATGATCATATAGTTTTAAATTTTAAGACAAGACCTCAACCAAGTGGAGACTACAAATCTAAATGCTGACATTGCAAATAAAATCAATTCTCCTTGTATTTTTTTTCTTATCACTGGAAAAAAATTCAGTTATAATTTATCTAGATAAAGCTTATTATGGCAAAATTCACTGCAAATGAAAGATTGGCTTTCACACATTTTTTATGAATCTTACGTCTTCTCCTGATTCTTTAATCAAATGGAAGATATCAGACCAACAAAGCATTTATGAATTCACACAATTTTTGTAAGAAGGAAACATGCTGAGATTTGAGAAGACAGCCTAAAATGAAAAAAACCCTTCTACAGCTTCAACCTTGCTCAAACCTTCCAGCACACACACACACACAAAAAAAAAAAAAAAAAGGAAAATGCAGTCTGCAGCTCAGAAATTGTCGCAAGGAGGGTCAGCTGGGTACTCACACAGCTGAGCAATGACCAACTTTTAGGGCATGGCCAGTTACGCTAGCAGAAGAAAAAGAGAAATTCATTATACACTTGTGATCCAAGAGAAAGTCATCAATCAGATATGAGAGTCTTAGAAAAGTGAGTGTGACATGGTTATCCTTAAAAGAGGGTGATATCTAAAATCATGCAAACAACCTTTTTTTCTACGAGAAAAATAATTCATGTACTAAATTACAGAGGTAATGAAGGACCAGAGATTCAGCTTACAGTTTCATTACTTACATTTTAACACAAACATTCTATTTTCAATTAATTCCAAAATAAGCTCATAATCACAAAATCACTGTGAATGATGCCTATAATTAACAACACAAGGGAGAGAGAAATTTATACTACATATTCAGTTGTATATTGAATTGCTAAGATCCTTTCTATATCTTACTATAAATGAATTATGGCAACTGAAGTAAACCTAGGACACATAATAAGTCTCCCTAAAAATTTTGATATCAGAACTAAAAAAGTAAAAAATCAACATCAAAACTATTTGGGACAGATACTATACCAAAATTTGACACAACTTCTAAACCTAACAAACGGAGGTGAAAAGACACACTTTGCTTGGCATTGCCTAAAATGTATTCAAATCCATCCCAAAGTAAAATATAATAGTAATCCAAAGTCAATGATTGAGAATAACTGCACCTACAAAAATTACTGAGTAAACAACCTTGGACTCTTTGCTTAAATGATATGCATGATTTTCATGGTATGAACATTATGACAAAGCCAAGTAATATAATAAAGTGACTTGAAAACAGAACTGTATATAGGTATATACAATGCAACAGATTCATATACAGAAGAATATTCACTACAAATCAGATAACAAATATGACATTTAATACGCACATATATTTTAATAAAATAATACCAATAAAATATACAAAAC